AATAAAATTCAAGCCAACTATTTAAGAAATTTAAAATTAAGTTGATGTAGCATATAATTTAATTTAAGATTCTAATGGTATAATGCATTCTATAATCAAAACCAATTTTACAATATTAGAATTTTTATGTCTACATTTTGATGTAATAGTTTTATAATCAGGATAACTACTTTTTTAAATTATTATAGAAATATTAAGATCATTTGTAAGGCAGGCCCAATTGACTGAAATAGTCATTTTTTTAAATTCTTATCACAGTTTGATCAAAATGTGGCTCCAACGATATCCCAAGTTCAGATATTTCAATATTTATTATTTAAGTCTTCTTATGTGAAAGTGATGAGGTTTTACAAAAACTAGTAGCAATAAATGAAGGAACTGCGATGAAATTAATTATAGAGTTACTGCAAGCCTTTTGAAAGACCATAAAATAGTTAAAAGTTACTAATTCCCCAAGATTTATTATCTGGAGTTTCAATCAATGTTGATGTCATCATTAAATTGATTGATGGTAAAGAATGAAGGAATTCAAAATCTAAATTAGTTTTATAGATATTTAAAATCAAGGAGCCACAATTTATTGCTTCTCCAGTTCTTCCATATTACTTTTTCTTAACTAGAATTCAATCGGAAAATACTAAAAAAATTCATTATCCCAATTTAGAATTTTCCAAAATTCTAATTAAACCCAAACTTTTTTTGTGTATAGGAAGTTACATGTATAAGTTTATTGATGAATCCTTTGAAAATAAATTATACCCTCCTTCAATTTCTGTTAAACTTCATTTTGAAAATGGTGATTAATTATACGTATTTTAAATAGTCTACCCATCTTAAACTACGAAATCTTTTGAATTAACATATTATTTGAAAACTGGGATCCATTTTACTAAAATAGTGATAAATTATACCATCTACACATTCAAAATTATGTAACATATATCCATCTTTACAAGTTGAACAATTATTCATTTTTTGTCCTGAACACTCAAGACATGTTTAATAACAATTTGCCAGATATAATTTAAATGCTCTTAATCCCCAAGATCCATTCATAATAACCATATTAAATTTCATGTTTATTAACATTCTATCTAATTTATGATAGCTATCCAAATTAATGTTTAATAACTTTTCCCCATTAAAATCACCACACAACTATGTTACTTCTGCTTAACCAATAATATTTGATTAATAAACAATCACTTCATCTATTTCTATAGAAAATATATTATTGTTCCAAAAATCAACTTTCCATATTTGTACTTACAAAATTATTTTATAATGTGGTATTAAAATAATAAATTATTTCGATAATTTTCTACTTCCTGTAAATAAATTGATTCCTCCAATTAACATTACATTTAAACATGATTATATTTTGTTGAACTACTATTGATCTAAAGTCCATCCATCAAAATTGAAATTATCAAACCAATTAATTTCTATTTCTTGAAAATACAAACATTCCTCAGGTGTATCATCATTACAAATTTAACAACCTGGTGAACATGATTGTATCTCTACCTTAAAGTCTCTAAATCACCATGATTCCTAATATGAAGAAATTTAAAATACTGTATTCGGAGACTCATCTAAATCAGTTGTTATAATGGCAATTAAATTTTTTAGTTATGATTAAAAGTAAAGTTGTAATTTGTTACAATTTCTTTATAATCTTCAGGATATTGATCATTTCCACATTTTACAATTTCTGTATTCCAGTACTATCTATCAGTTTAAACATAATCATCAAAAATAAAATAAACATGTTCATTATCCAGCTATCTATCCTAATAGTTTATTTATTATAATTGTTACTTCCAAAACTGAAAACTTATTCTTAATTTATAATGAGGTGAAAGAATTATTAATCTTTATACTTTTGCTCCTGATCCAAATACATTATTACCTCCAAACAACAATATACCATCAATATACTTGAAAATTATCCATTATTTCCTTCAAAAAAACAGTCTAAATAATTTAAAAAGAAAACCATCTATGTATAATTTCTGTTGAAGTAAAAGAAGTATATTCAGTTCTCCAAGAAACATAATATTAACAGCCCTAATTTTAGCATTCCTCTACTATAATATTAAATTATTTAAGAAAGATTGAACAAATTAATGTTTATTAATTCAGTTAATAAATATCCTATTAGGATGGATAATAATAATTTTAAAAATTGAAAAAAATTATAAATTTTTGGAGACTTATATTCAGATAATTATAATAATCAAAAATATATGATTTCTAAATGAACATTTACCTGAATATCATTCATAATCTATTCATCCAGAAATTAACAAATTTAAACTACAAATTAATTCAAACTTACATTAAATGTTTTTAAAACCATCAAATTTTTCAAATTTATAAATGATTTTATCTAGGTTGTCAAATTCATATATTTAAATAGAATCATATATAATTTTAGTTATGCTACTTGTATTGCTTTAAATATGATTTATTTTGCTCAAATTTATTGCAATTTCTGCTCTATTTAAAAAATTTCAAGATTGATTTATTCTAATTTTATTTATTTTAAAAGATGGACATGCAGCAACATAATTGCTAATCAGTCACAGTCATAATATTTTAGATATCTTCTTGGCTATTGCTGAATGCAATTTGGATTCTATGGTTGTTTTTATAATAATTGATTGATTTTTAAGCATGGAAGGTTTTTGGATATTCAAGAAAATTGTGATTGAAAAAAAAATAATAAACAAAATAATATCTAAGAATGGGAGAATATCACTGTTATTGAAGCATTTAATTTCAAAATATGTCTATCTACTATCTTTAGTTTTTTTGGCTTTAGGTAAAGATGATACAGAATATGGAGAGCTATCCTAAATTTCTAAATTTATCAAAAAAATAAAATAAGAAAATAATGGGTGAGTTCATTAAAGAATGTTAATGGAGTATAAGTAATTTATATAGAAATAATCGAAGAGGTTCGTTAATCATCAAATTATTTAAGATTTTATTGATCAGTCATAATTTAAAAATTTCAAGAATCTTTGAGAACTTTAGAGATTTTGGTTTTAGTAGAAAAATTAGACTCTCTAATTATAAATAAAATAACTATCAATACTAATCAACACAACAATAAGTTAAAAATTGCTTGCAACAATTTAATAAACTTATATCCTCTGGTATGTATGTTTTTAAAAATACTTAGATGAATATTACCCTACATAATATATTTATTAATATAGCAATATATTTGAAAAACAAATTTATAGCTAGATAATTCGGTTTTTCGAAATTAAAAATTTTTTACATTTCATCGATTACTTAATATAAACTATCATTGTAACCAATATTTGCGTATGCTTGTATCTTATAAGCTCCTAAACTTTATTTTAATAATTTTCATTTAAATCAACTTTCTTTCTATTATCCTCCTTTAAACATTATAAACTTGGATTCTTTAGAAGTTTCCAAGAATATTTTAGTTCATATATTTTTATTTTATACTTATCAATTTCATGGGTTATCCTGTATCATAATTCAATAATAGAAGAAATTATTAGAATTCATTTATATTACTAAGAGCGATTAATTTATTTAGTTGCATATAAAAATAATTTTAATTGAAAATCTTATATTAAAATTTTAAAATAACTTATGATTCTTTAACAATTTATAATCTTATATTATAAAAACTTATTTAATATAAAATGAATAAATTAAGAATCTTTTTGTAGTATTTTAATTATATATAATTATTTATTTTAAAATTACTAATTCATATTAGATATTTTAATTTCAAATGAGTTAATTCTTTTCATTTTCTTAGGATGAAATTTTTATCCTTAAAGAGCTTAAGGGAATTAAGTTTGAGTTTTATAGTAACCTAATTAAAATTATATGTACTTTTAATTTTCTATTTATACTTTAGATAGAGAAATTAAATATAACTTCACTTTTTAATAATTTTTTATGATAATCCCATTTCTTAACTACCATCTTTAAATGTTTTTTTCCAAATAACTAGATAATTTTGAATTATTTTAAATTTTTTTGGCTATTTATAAGATAAATGTCAAAATGGCAATTTTATATTTCTTCAAATAGGTTAATATAATTTGTATGACAAATGAATAGAAAATTCTGGTCCAAAGCAAAAAAATAAATATCTATAAAATTACTGAATAAATTTAATTATTTTATTATTAAGTTATGAAAATGATCACAGCTAAATAAATGATTAAAGAACATATTTAACAAGTTTAAATATCTAATATATTTAAGCTTTTAATTATGAATGGTTAATGATGTGATGATAATGATTAATATAACAATAAACATATTCCCAATAAGGATGCCTTCAAAAAAATGTTTGTCTCAAAATATACAACTATTATAATTATCACATTTTTTTTCCAAATTTTAATATATTCCCAATAATAACTGGACTAATTGTATTCATTGAATAAATAACCGATATGTCTACGAAGTTAAATACTTTCAAGTTTCTCTTTTTTTAGAATCATTAATAAAAATAACAAAATAGGTATACCACATCCTATAAGTATAACTCCTGGTAATAGAAAAGTAAAAATCCATTTATAATGAGATTAAGATTCAAATTTTAAAGAAACATCACCTTAGATAAATTCAATGCTTGAAATCTACCTCTTTGCTAATAATGAAAAAAATCTAGTTAATATGATATAAATCTACTGTTTAATTAAAATAGCATTATTTTGAAGGTACAAGCATAAAACAATATTTGTAACAATGCTAGTTCTAAAATAATAGTTAGAGAAAATGGAATGAAGTTTGAAACAAATACAAAATAATAAAAGTTGACCAATAATCAATACTAAAATGATTATGATTCTAAAATATATAAGTTCTATATCTAATGACTTTGATAGAAAACAATCTAAACTGTTAGCTAAGACAAGAGAAGAATTATTTACTGATTCAAGGATTGTAATTGAAAATGTAAAATTTAGATTAAAGCTAAAAATAACTGAGTATATCCACAAATAATTTAGTAACATCTTAATTAAAAAACTTTAATGATCTAATTAAAAATAATGAATACCTTAATTTAGTTTGAAAATTATTCTTCTAAATCTTTATTTAAAACTAAGAGATGAATATAATAAATTTGTTTTTTCGATACTCCTCACTGACAAAAAAATCGAAAGAAGTGACCTATATTGAAAAAGATTTTTACCATATAGATACAAAAATAAAAGGTAATATATTAATAGATTCTTTGGGACACAAATAACATTACATATTTGTTTAACTTTTAAAATATTGGCCAAATCCTTTGATATTATAAATATCACATTCTTCGCATAATCCTCCTATATGACCTAATTAACATGATTAATCTCCTACGTCCCAACCACCTTAACAGAAAATTAAATTTTTAAAACATTATTCTGTTAGATCAGAAGTATAACTAGATCTCCAAAAGCCAGTTTTTAAGAAAATTAAATTAGAAGTGATATTTTCAAATTTTTTATTATCGAATATTGAACATTTAGTCGCATTATAAGTCACAGAATAATATCCTTGATTTGATTGGCATTTTTAACAACCTTCATCAACATAATATTCACCTAATTAGCAAAAATATGTTTTAGTGTAGATAATATATCTTAATCTTTTAGATATTTGCTATAAAATACAATCAATTGATATTTTAAGTTATTTATCATAATGTTAATAAGGATCAAATTAGATAATTTCAGTTCCTAAATCGTATTTATTGCTTTAGTAGTTGTAAGATAATTTGGAAATAAATTTTTATTCATATAATATGAGACCTTATTCAGATACAATAGTTTAACTTAATTCACAAATTTAATTATCATCTAAAGTTAGTAATTCATTCATATAATTTCGAAAGGAAATAGAAATTTCATGTATTAATACTTTATAATCTAATCTGAATGTACTAAATAAACTATAATTTCCAATTTTTTAATTGCTTGGTATCATTAAATGGCTTGTTTTCACTCTCCTACCTTATTAAATTGTTTAATATTCTTTTAGATAGAGGATATTTGTACTAAAGGAATTGTCTTCATTTTAATAAGAAATCATTTCTTAATTGTTAATTGACAAACCTAAATGATCTGGTATTTCAACTAAATTATTGCTACCTTTTAAGCCTTTATTAAATAATAATGAAGATTTTATAAAATTAAACTAATTTAAACTATTATTTCCAATTAAATAAATTCCACCTCCTACTTTTGCTGTATTGTTTATTATGGAGACTTCAAAAAATTTAAAATAATTTGAATAGGAATAAAAATAAATAGCACCTCCATTCATGGAAGCAAAATTTTTAAGAAAAAGACATCTAATTAATATCAAATTTATATTAGAAGAACTAAGCCCAGCTCCTTGACTACCATAATTGTTTATAAATTTTGAATTCTTAATAACTGCAATATTTTTTAAAGTATTATTTGACATTATAGAAATACAACCTTTTTTCTAAATACTGTTTGAATAGCATAATAATTTCGAGATTTTTATTTATTAAAAATTCCTAATATCAAAATTTATAATTCCTAATTCACAATAAAGACAATTGATATTAGTTATATATATTTCTTGCAGTATAAATTTTGAACTATTGTTAATACTAAAGAAATAGATTAAAGGATTAGCCAGCTAATAATTTTAATTTATTTAATCTAATATATTTGAAAATTAATAAATCTTATATGAAATCTCTATTTGAAATATTGGAATACATAATATGTTATTATTAAAAATTTTTAAGGATATTTTTCTTAAAATAATATCGTCAGAGTTTTATTAAAAGGAAATAGACTTAAGATTAATTTTTGATAATGATATCGACATTTATTTTGAAATATCCTATTCAATACTAATTAAGCCAAAAGGAAAAAATAGTAATAAATCATAAAAATTGCCATGTATAAATTAAAAGTTATTACAATCTATTATTTTTAAAACTGGAGATATAATTGCTCCTTCAATTGAAAAATTAAAAATTTTGATATTGCAACCTATTAAATTGATTATAGCATTGTCATTTGAAAGTTTACTAACCTCTTAATAACTTAGTGGGCCAATGCTTTAAAAGTATTGAATCCAAGCATTAATCCTTTAGATTATAGTAATATTTTAAAATGTGATAAAGTTTTACTCTTTAGTTTATTTCGCAAATTCTAATTTTAAAATTTGGTTAACAAATGACAAGCAATCTTATATATAAATATTTATTATTTCTATCCTATTTTATTGGAGAGATGGAAAAATAGTAAAAATTGAAGATCCAAATATATTAAATACATTTTTGAAACTAGCATTTTATATTTCAAATTTTAATATGCTACTTTACGCAAAAATAGTAATGCATCCATAAATATTAGATTCTTAAATTAAATCAACTTCAATATTAGATACAATTATATTTTTTATAGAAATTAATCCTGGATCTTTGGTTGTTATTGCAAATATAGCGCTGTTCTAAGATCTGATTTTTTCAAATGTACCATTATTAAAAATAAACATTGAAGTTGCTACTTGAAGTACTCCTACTTGATTTTAAATTATTAAGAGTTACTAACTTGCGTCTTAAATAAATTCTTCTTTTAGTTGTGATTAGAATTAGATGTTATAATATTTTTCAAATAATTCATTCGATAAAATGTTAAGATTTGATGTGACAAAATTATTTATAATAATAATATTAGATTTGATATATTGAAAAGGATGTGAAGAGTTTGCTAAAATGTTTTAAAAATTATAAAGATTTGAAATTTTAACTTTGCTTAAATAAGAATCAATAAAAATTAATCCACTTGATTATGAAGATAAATCATTAGTGTATTGATGAAATAAATTTTCAGTAAAATTTATTTCTTTGATCAAAATATTTTGTTCGTGTGCTGAATAAATAGCTAATAAAGTGAAGATATTTTAAGTTGTAATTTTTAGCAATATATTCTATGTAAATGTTAGATTTGAGAAATAAAGCTATTCTATAAATTATGAATCATGTTGGGTCTAAGATTATATATAAATCAAAGTTTAATCCACAAAAAAATAATTTTAGACTAAAAAATTTGTTAGTGTAAAGTTTTGTATTCCAAAAGCTTTTAAAAACATTTTATTAAGTTATTTAAAATTAGCACATTCTATACTTAGGGGAATCTTAGTTATTTGGATAGTATTAAAAAGTTCAATTTTATCAAAATATATATTATCTATCAAATAAAAATTAAAAAACTGCAAATTATAACAATCTATAATGTATAATTCAATTATTGTTAAACTTTTACTTTAAATGTTAAATAAAAAGCTGTTCAAATGTGCATAATTTATGTCATAGTTATTTTAAAAAACAATATTCTTTAAATATAGAGAAAAAGAATTACTCTACATTTGAGAATTTGTATCTAGAATGATTGAATTTACTAATCGATTGTTAATGTATTTATTGTCAATAAATTAGATGGCTTCTATAATATATCCTGCAATCTATTAAGCAATAAAAATACATGAATTCTATAACAAATTAGAAATAAACTTTAGTCCAACTATTTGAAATTTAGAATTAGAAATAAAAATTTTTGAAATGGTGAAATTATTTTATGTTATAGAAATATCTTGAATATTTTGCATCAGAATAAAATAACTTGTTATCAAATTAGATTATAAAAAAGTACTTTAACTTAAATTTAATTTAATAATTTAAAGTTTTAAGCTTTATTGATAATCCATTTAAAAATTAAAAGCTATTGACTCTAAAAAGATACACTTATAAAAAGTGACATCAAAAATTTATATATCAGCAATTTTTCCATGAAAATTAAATATTGATGAATTTTAAAATACACAATTAATAAAATTTATATGAGAAATTTAAGCAAAGCTTCCAGACAAGGTAAAGGAAATATCCCATATTAAAGAATTTTTTATAAAAAGATTTTCATAAGTAAGATTTGCTAATCGAAATTTATTATAATCTTTAGCCATCAAAAATAATTCTATATAATAATCTTTTAAAGATCCCTAAAATAAAGTGTCTTCTATGTATAAATCTATTGATTAATCATTATCAAATTTTAAATAAAAATCTTTATTTATGATAAATATCATATTTTAAATTTCAATTGTATCAAAATTATTAATTATTAAGGGTATTTAAACTATATTATTGATAATTTGTGATTTTGTTATATTAAAGATAACTTATCTTATTGAAAATACTTTTTATTTCAAAGTAGAGTCTATTTTAATCATTTAATAATCTTGAATAATAAATTACGTTTCTAAAGGCAAAGAATATAAGAAATTAATTCTCATCACTCTAATACCTATTTAATTTAAATAGTCTGTATTTATATCATTTTCATAGAATTGCTGAAATTCTGACGATAAACTTAATTGAACAGTTTCAAAATCAATCTCATACTAAAATATTGAAATTCTTTACTTCATACTAAAAGAATTATGAACAATTTTAAGCAAAACAATATTGGGGTATTAACTCATTTTGAATAATAATTATATTAGGATCTGGTGCTTAATACAAACATTTGTGAGTATAAATGATATTTGAATCAGTTATTTCAAATTGACCATTTAGCAGCTTAGAAAATAAAAAAAAGTAATTACTTTAATTTCTAATTAAGTTCTTGGTTGACATATAGAACAAAGAGGTGAACATTTTAAACACTAATTTTAAATTTTAGATCTAAAATGTAATCGATAATAGTCTAAAGAACATTTTTTGCATTAAAATGTAAATTGCAAATCTTAAGTATCTTCACAAATTAAACAGTCAGATGAACAATATTTCTTGCAAGTATTTTTATTACTTATTTGATATCCATCAATACAAACTATTGAAATTGGAGTTATTAAATGTGCAGGTGGTATTTAATTGTAATATTAATTAGGTAAAAAATTCATTAAAAAAGACTAAATTAATTAGATCCAACCATTCAGCTACATTCCATCACCTTCAATACTTATTTTAGAATTATTATTTGGAGTTCTATAACATAACCCTGAAGTTAAAGAACTTGTAAAACCTTAAGCACAAATTACACATTTAATTTAAAGTGAAGATATCAAAACACATTACAAACAATTATTTATTAGTTTTTCACAATTGATTATTTCCTATGCAATCCTGAAATCATCTACAGATGATAGTGTACAGATTTCTGAACCTTCCAAATTTATAAAAGACCTCAAACAATATTATAAGTTTGGTTTTTAATATAGACATAAACCAACAGTAAAATCAAATAAAAAATTATCTTCGCAAAGTGAACAACCTACTGAATGAAACTCATCCTCTTCAAAAGTCTCAAAATTATCATATAATGTGCATGACTTTAAATCATTATTCTTATATTCAAAGCAATATTTACAATTCTAAATTTGGCATAATTTACATCCCCTAGTAGATGATATATAAAATGGAGGTAAACATTAATTTTAAGTAATAAATTATGTTTTGAAAGAATCAAAACACTATCCATTTTTTACAATTAAATTTCCTAAACAAAGAATGCAAATTAATCCTTATTCAGTTAAAACACACTCAAGACAACCATCTAAATTGCAATCATAACATTCTAATACATCATTTATGTTATAGAATCTCTTACTTTTTTAACAAAATCTTTCAGCAACTTTGAACTATTTAATGTAATAATTATAGAGTGTTAATTCATTTTACATTTATGCAGCTGTGCAGTCTTAACATAATTATAATTCTTCTGTAGGTAAAATAAAATATGACTTTTTTTCATCAAGTACTGAATTAAATGTATTATCTTCTATAATATATAATGATTCTTAACAATAAGGATCTTCTTTCCAATTTAGAGGATTTAATATACATTCTAAACAAGTGATTAAATTAGGTTTAATTATTGCAGGACTATAAGTTAATAATAAATATTTTACCATTTAATACAAATCTATGAATCTAATTAAAAATATCCATATTGACATATACTTTAATATTTCGATTCTTCTTATTATAAATTAAATACTTAAAAATGAAAATTATCTATTTAATAACAAAAATCTTAATCAATAGCATTATAATTACAAATACATGCTTTTTATTGTGGTATATATATTCTATTAGAAATTTAAGAGCAAGATAAACAATCTGAATTAGTTGGACCATCACATTTTTCGCAACTTGGATGACAACTTTTATCAATCAATTAAGTATCACAATTATAATAATTTAAATTTTCAATCTAAATATTTAAATAATTGTAAGCTTCTTAATTTATATTTCCATAATTAATTTAAAATTATACTTCATTAAAGTGATAAACATTAATTTATTCTTCATACAAATATATATTATCTCCTTCATAAAATCTAATTTTTATTTATAAATTATTATTTAATAGATACACTTATAAACTATGCCATAAGTAAATATTATTTATAATTTTTATTTCCTTCTTAATTAAAAAAGAATTATTAATTTAATCAATATTTACACTTGGAAATGAATAACTATATGTCAATATTAATATCTTAAATTAATATTTTGATATCTTATAAATTAATTAAAATGCAGACAAATTGTCATCATTTAATTTTTAATTTTAACTAAATTTGTTCATTTTCATAAATTTATAATCAAATACATCATCTATTTGATGGATTTCTTTTATTTTTAACCATCCTTATAATCCAAATGATGCACAATTAGCATTTTCAGAAGTAAATAATTCTTTTTGAAATTGAGTTAGTAATTATTATTTTTTAAATTGAGAATTTAGATTTGATTGACATAAGCAGTTATTTATAGGTTCGAATACAGATAATGCTGATATCTGAGAATCATATGTTAAAATAGGTCTTGAAATTTCTGTCAATGGGCTTAAGTAAAATTTACCAGGATAATAGGTATATATTTTATTTGAAATATCATTTTCAAATTATTGCAGAGATTCAATATATAAGCCTCCTCCGAATGTTAAGAGCAATTTATTTGTATTATACGGATATTTAATTTATAATACTTTTTTAGATAATAAATGAGGATATTAAAGAAAAATTAATTCAAAGTATTCATACTGAGGCCAATCAGTAATTTAAAAATAAAACCATACATTTTCATAATTATTTGCATCAATTACAACTTCAAAATTATGATATTATTCATCATTACTAAAAAATTATACCTACTTTTTTATTTTCTGTTTATTATAATCAAGACAGTCGGAATATAAAAAAATTACTTCATTTGTTTATGAGTCTTATGCACTATGTAAATGGTAGCAATTACTGTCTAAAATTCCGAATTTTCCAATTTAACTTATCCAACTTAAAGGTAAATATTTACTCCAAAGTCCAAATGCAAATGAAAAATCATCAATATATTTTTCTAAATCTATTTAAAAATTGTAAGTTTGTATTTAATTATCCTTATTCATCTCTTATAGATAATAATCACCGTTAATTTAATGAAATATAATCATAAGAAGTAGTTTGGGTATCATAATAAAAATCAAACTTATTTTAATATTTATCTAATTTAATTCAATACTAAAAATTGTAAAAGAACAAAGAATCAAAAAGTTTTTATAAAAAATTAATCATAATAGATCCTCTAATATATTTGTAGAAAAAAAAGTTAACAATAAAATGATGTAATCAGATAGGAAACTTTGTCTTTTAATATAGTAAATTTAACATATAAATCAAAAAATGATTTCGAAATAAAATTATTCTATAATTTTAACAGCATTTTTTAAATTCTTTGATGAATGATTTAATAATAATTCAATTTAAAAAAATAATTATATTATGGGCTTTTTATACCATGATAATCTTTGGTCAAATTAAACTAAATTTAAGAAGAATTTCATAACTAAATTAATATTTCCAACATAAAGTTCTCAAAGCAAGACTTTTCAATTTGTAATTTTTTTTTTATGAAAGAATAAAGAACAAATTTTTGAAGGTGATTATTATAATATTTGTTTAACTCTTTCAATACTGCACAAGTTCTATTGATGTTGTTTATAGTACACCTTAATAAGAAGTCTTCATAATTTTAATGATATATAGTTTGGAAAACTCAAAAAAGTGGAATTATTAAAAAGATAGTATCTCTAATCTTAACATCGTAAAATGGAATATTTCTATATACTTAAGTTTAAAGAATTGTTACATCCTAAAAGCTGTTTCGAACTAAATATACATTTTTAATGTGATATCAATTTTAGTATTATTATCTTTCAAAATAAAACCATCATATAATATGAATGCTATATTTTTTATTTTGACTGAATTATAATTAATTTGAAATCCACCAAATGAAAGCGTATTATCTTAAATGTTTTATTTTCCAATTACAGAAAAAGGAAACCTATCTTTCTTCAATGTTAGAAAAAAGAATTAAATTTTTCTAATTAAGTTAATTCATTTGAGGAATTAAGTTTTAATCTTAATTTATTTAAGAGATTACAATTTTCTTAAAAGTTTTCTTCTTTTTAATTTATTTCATTAAATTTGAATTCTTAAAATTTTAAAAATTCAAATTAATCTCTTTATATTATTAAAGATTAATAATCCTATAATGAATAACCTCTTCCAAAAGCTTATTCTTCAATTCTTTAATTAGAAGGCTTAAATATTAATATCACATGTAATCCTCCATAAATTTAAATATCATTAGAATTTATATTAGTACCTCTACCTGCAGGATTTGTTGCAATAAATAATTAACCTAATTATATTTTTCAATTATTTCTCTTAATTATTATTATTTCTATCATATAATTTGATTTTAGCATGCTAAGAAATCAACTTATTATAATTGATTCTTGCATTTTAAATAGTTTCGCATTATTAGAAGTCATTCTTATTTTAATATTCATTATTAGATGAATTTATTATCTATTATAACCATCTCTCTTAATTTACAATAAATAAAGGCAATTAATGAAATAATTTATAATTATTTTAGGGTATCAATATCAAATCTACCTGATAAACTTCTTTTAACAGATCTTATATATTTTTTGAACCTAATATACCAGTCAAACCAATTAATTTACCATTATATTTCCGAAAATATCGTAATATTTAGTTAATTTTATTAAATTACTCATTATAAAGTGTATCCAAAATTTGATAAAAAAGTTTCAGATATAATTTTTAAATTATAAATTAATGTAATTCATTTCTCCAATATGTATAATCTTAAATTGCTCCTGTATTTTGAAAATCAACAAGTTTTATATCACCTTAATAAATTATATAGTGAATATCTTCTTTATATTACATTGCTAATATAGTATTATGTATCCAACTATGTAATTTAAATTTAACATATTATTTAAAATAAGTAGGTAACATTATTAATTCAAATTTATCAATTATATTATTAATATAGTCTACTATGTTTTTCTTTAAATTCATTTATATTTTAAATCTCTTATCCTATTTCTGAGAATTATTAACTCTTAACAAATTATTTGAGACTCTCAAATTTATAAATTAACTTTCTGTCCTCCCCTAATATTAATAAACTTTGTTTTTTTCTGGATAATTAAATTTTCCATATTGAAAGTAATAATATTTAGAATCAATATTTACTATTTTTTATTCTTGAATATTGATTCTTTACCAAATGAGAAGATATATTGGTTAAAATAGTTCAATACCTACAATTTGAGTAATAGCTATTTGCATATTTCTATTTCCCATAGTATTTAATTAACTATGATGATGTCTTAAATAATCAAATTAAAATTATGATACATCACCATATATTTAAATTACTTATTTTATTACTGCTAATGATTCAATAATCAATTCATCTCCTTTAAATCTCTCTCTTACATCTTTGCTTACTCTTTCCAAACTCTTATATCATCATATTTCCATTACTCTCTTTTTCTTTATTCTAATAAATTCTTAAATTCTAATATATCATCTATCTTTCCTATTCTATTATAGATATATGTGAGAAACTAGCAATGGTACTGATTCTTTTCTATCATTTCATCATTTCTAAACATAATCTGTATAAAAATCTCTATTTTTGATCTTTTATTTTTTATTTTCTTTTACAACATCTATTCTAACCAACCTTACTGTAATTTTTACCATCTATTTGTTTTATTAAATCTAAATCTCTCACTATTGGTTTTTAAAATTATTCCAAAATTTATATTACTTAATCACATATTCATAAAAATATCAGATTTAACTCCATTTTTATTAGTACATCTTAACTTTCTAAAAGATAAATTATTAATCCTTCAAGATTCTGTTATTTTTTTATCTTTAATTTTTCTTGAAAGGAAGGGATCAACTGTAATTGTTAAATCCTCATACTTTTTCTATACTATTATTTTTGTATACGCTTTAATAATTTTATTTGTTATCTACATATCTTTATGCTATATTAACCTTTCAATCTTTTATACTATATCTTAATCTAATTTTAATTAATTCATCAAAAATGATTATGATAAAATTTTTACACATTCTTGAACCTCTGCTATATCATTACTTTGATCTGCAATTTAGATAAGCAAATACTTTATCATTTTACAATAAAAAACCCTCTTTAACATAATTATAAGTATTCTAAAGTATATGAATTGAACAATCTGAATTTTATTATTTTTTTGATTCATCTAATTATTAAACTTTTTTAATTCATCAATTAATGTCTAATTTCTATAGTTATAGTTAAAAAAGATGCTTTTTAAAGATCTTCTTCATAATTATCTATTAAAAATGAGAAAATATATTGAGAAATAGTTAATTTGATTTAATTAAATTTAAACATTTATCTTTTACCTCTTTATTTGAAAGCAATAATACAATATTTTTGATTATTTCATTAGATATTTCTTATTTATTACTGTAATTTTCTAAATGAGAAATAACTTATAATAAAAGTTTTGAATTTCTAGTATCCTATAATATCAAATTTCTTTATTTAAAATTTTCAGGTAGCAATTCAATTTGTTTTGTTGAAGTGCATAGATTTTCATATTTCAAATTCTCTTTTAGAGAAAGCTATTTAATAAATTAATCTGTTTCTTCATCAAGTTGAAATTTTTTTTTAAATTTTGCTAATTTTCATTTTATTCTCATATTTGATTTATTTATCCAATATAAAATCTTTCAACTTTATTTATACTTCGGTATTTAAATTATATTTTTATTAAAAAAAATAATAAATAATGTTAACACATAATGGAATTAATCTTTCTTTTTATTTTGAAAGTTTTTATATTACAGCTTAATTAACTAAATCAATGTATTATGTATTTTAATGAAATAAACCATTCGCTTTTATTTTTGTATTAATATTATATTGTAGATAAATTTCTTAATTCAAATCTTATGTGACTTTTATATGCCTACATAATTGCTCAATAATTTATGAAGAAAATAATTAACAATTTTAACTGGGAATAGCAAAGAATTACAGTCATTTTTCAGGAATATTGTTACTATTTAGTAAATTTTCTAAACAAATTATAAGTTCATTAGATAATTCTTAGTTATTCTTTAACATATTTATAAATATAAGCATAAGATCTTGATTAATATTCTAAGTA